CCATCTGCGTTACCTGCTCGGTGTGTGTGTGTGTGTGTGTGTGTTCTGTAACGTGTCTCGAAGAAAAGGTTGAAAATTTAAAAAAAAAAGGGGATATCGAATGAAAATTGAGCTTGCGTGATTATTTTGAAGTTTTTGTTGTTGTTCGTTCAACTACAGTGGAGTGTATAAGGAAATTATTAAATTTGTCGGACCGTGAATGTTGTACAGTATGTGATTTTCAAGGTCCAATTTTGAGTCTTCGCGATGGGAAGAAGTGAGGGAAGATTTTGATTCAAGCACAGATTTTCAAGAGGCTTCCGGCATCACAGAAACCTTGAACTCGTATTGAATGGGGGGAAAAGCTGAGTAATAATGTGACGTGACTCTTTCAAATATTTTTGATAATTCAGAAAGAAGATGAAGATATTAAAACATATATTAAAAATATAGAAAATGGAAGGTCATTTGTGTGCGGTGTCTCCAAAAAGTTCGCAACTGAATTTTTGAAAAGGGGTCTGAAGGGAATATTGAACTTGTGTGATTATATTGACATTTTTTTGTTTCATATTACAAGAGAAGTGTGAGAAAATTATTCGATGTTTTGGACCTTGAATCTTGTCTGTGGGTTTCATGGTCCAATATTGAGTCTTTTGCCAGTGGACGAGCGAGGTAACATTTTGGTTGGTATTTTATAAAAATATAAAAGGTTTTATAATTTTATGAGCACACATTTTTCAAGGTGCTTTCTGTATCATACAAAAACCTTGAACTCAGATTGGATGTGAAAAAGCTGAGCAATATTTTAAGTGACTCCTGGAAAGATTTTTGACAATTTCGAAGAGGATGAAGAGATAAGGACAAAAATTAAAAATAGTCGCGAATGACATGTCTCAAACAAGTTTGTAACATTCCTCTTTTTCTAAAAAAGGGATACTGTGTACAGGGAAAATTCAAATTTTGTGGTAACTTTGAATTTGTTCCTTTTGTTTGTTCAATGAGTGAAGTGAGGAAATTATTCAACTTTTTGGACCTTGAATGTTTTCTGTGGCTTCCAAGGTCACATTTCCAGTCTTTGCGATGGGCAGAAGAAGAAATAGTGTTAGTCAGAATTTGATAAAAGAAGAAATCTCTTATAATTTTCCAAACATATATTTTAAGGTGCTTCTGGAATCACAGAAACCTTGAACCCATATTGAAGAGGGGAAAGCTGAGTTACTGTATATCCTAAGTGAATTTTGCAGCAATTTTTGATAATTCAGAAAGGAATGAAGAGATTAATATTAAAAAATTTAATTCACCATAAATGGAATTTCACTTGATTGCTGTCACGTGACAGCATTAAATTCCTTAATTTAATAGTACAGTATACTTTTTTTTCTTTTTCAAGACCATATTCAAAAGGAATTGTTTTGGAAAATAGGTGGTACAGATCAAAACATTCAGAAATTTCAATTCCAATTGCAATATCTTGAATAACTGCTAATACTTGCGATGAACCCAGATGTACAAATTGTGTCCCCAAGACTTTCGAATAAAGAAGAGGGGAAGAGAAAAGTACTCACTCCAACTCAATTTTTCTATACGAAAGTGAGCTGTTTACAAAATTACAAAAGACTTTTAAAGTTGGAGAGAGTTAAATCAAACTCATGACCTGCCAATAAATAAGTGCAAAAATGGTTTTCACAAGCACAGAAAGTACACACTTTTGAACAGTTCCACAAGTCAATATTTTGCAAGTCAACAGAAAACTTGGAGAGACTTTTTGAATGTGTAACATGTAGAATAACAGGACAATTTTCCTGGAGTGGCTTTGCAGAAACTTTGACGCAAACTTTTCAGACGGAAACTTGATGGAATGGCTGCAAACAACAGTACAATATGCCAAAAACATTTCTTGGCGTTTTTGTGCCATTTTGGTAACCCTGCTTTCAGGGTACTGGGTCACCCGCCAGTCAGTCAAATCACGGTTGCGCACCTGCCGGTCGTCAAGCGCCGGTCAGTCCAACCGCCAGCCAGGGCAGTTCTTGGCCTTGCCAATTCCCAGTCCACCAAACTGCGGTCTGGTCACCCGATTGTTGGGGCACCCAAACAATTGGGTGACAAGAATCATGCTGATTCTTTCTAGAATTTGGTGAGCAGAATGGTATCCTACCACAGATTATTATTTTTTTTTTTACAAAATATCTTTCTAGAATTTGGTGAGCAGAATGGTATCCTACCACAGATTATTATTTTTTTTACAAAATTTCATCTTATAAAAATTTTCACAAGAAGAAAAAACTCATCAAACCCAACCTAACTTAACCTAACGTATCCTAACCTAACCTAACCTAACCTAAACTAACATAACATAAACTGACTTAACCTAACCTAACCTAACATTGCTGAAATTTTGAAAAAAATCTGTGGTTGGATACCATTTGCTCACTGAATTCTGAAAAAAAAATAAGCATGATTCTTGTCACCTGATTGTTTGGGTGCCCCAACAAATGGGTGACCAAACCGCAGTTTGGTGGGCTGGGGATTGGCAAGGCCAAGATCTGCCCTGGCTGGCGGTTGGACAGACCAGCGCTTGATGACCAGCGGGTGCGCAACTGTGAATTGACCAACCTGCGGCTGACCGTACACGTGCTTTCAGAGGGGGAAGAGTAGCAGTACTGGCAACAATTTCCACTGAAACTCCAAGAAATTTGGCCTGGCAATTCCAGGCCAATTTATTGGGGGTTTTTACCCTACAGAATTTATAAAAGCTCCCTTTGAAAAGGGGAGTGCCTCAAGGGGATGCAAAAAAAAAAAAAAACCATTAGACAGTGTGCCTCAGGGGGTTGATCCCCTCAAGTTTTCCATGTTTGGCAGGCATATTAGGTTGTAAAAGGTTTTCAAATCCTGGCTTAAGTGGGGTGCTTTTTGTTCCCCATCTGACAGCTTTATTGCTGCCAGATGGTTTTGGCCATTTGTCTTTTGCTGCGCCAATTTGTACTGGTGCACCCATTCTGCAATATAAATCCTCTGCTGTTGAGAAACAGACCAATGAAACACACAGAAAACAAGACACTAAAGTCATTGCTGATAACATTGTACACAATACAGGAATAAGTCAACTTGATTTTGAAAGTGGTATGTTTTTATTTGCAAGCATGATGATGTATTAATAAATGGATTGGCATGCAGTCATTTATTTTCAGGCATTAAGAATAAAAAATATTCAAAACTTCCTTCTTTTCCAGATTACATTCCCAAGTATGATCCACACAAAGAATAAAGCTTTTTGATGGAAAAGTGTCCATGAGGTGTTTCAGAAATGAAAATTTAATTTTTTGTTGTTTTTCTAGGCTACACGGTTCATGTAGCAGTTCAAGGACCTTACGGTGTGTTATTGAAAAAAAAGATACAAATGATGAAGATAAAAAAAAAATAGCCAAAAACAAAAAAACTTCATAGTCAACCTTCGGAACCACACGTTTTTCCTGGCACGTTTCACTCACTGGAAGTTGACGACGCCGTCGTCGTCGTCGTCGTCCATTATCCATTTTGCCAATTTTTTTTTTCAAAGTAAAAAAATAATACGTGACGAACGAACGAACGAACTACGTTTTATTCCGTGACGTCCGCGGGAATGTTTCGTATCCGGTCGATGTTTTCTCTCGGGGTTTATATTTTTCAGAGAACGTTTAAAAACTATCTGTGTTTTTTTTGTCAATTTCAAGAATATCATGCACAAGAAATGGGTTTCGTAATAAGACACACTGAAAAATGTTTACTTTCGGAAAAAAAGCGGAATTTTGCTGACACATTTAAACTGTGATAAGAACGGAGTTAATCTGAAAACCGGTTCGAAATTGAAAATTGTGCCTCAAAATCATATCCTTAGATCCATCTATAATTATTTAATAAATATTGCAATAGTTGAAAGTGCTGCTGAAGCATTTGCGACCCTTTTTTGTTCAACTTTGCCGTGAATCCACGAGATAAAATAATATTTTTTTAAATAAACCGAATCATGAGGTACATTTAACGATTTCTGATTTTTCGTTCATCCGGTGGTTTTTCGATCCAGTGGCTTTGCTGGTTTTTTAAAACCGTGGTGAAATGATGTCAGATAATGAGATAAATGGGCTTTTTCCGAAAACCAACACATGTAATTACGGATTTTGTAACTTTTTGTGTGTGATGTTTACGATGAAAGCGAAACAATTGCTTCGAAATGATTTTGACCTTGAATATTTTGAACGTCAAGTTCAATGATTAGACAATTTTAAAAATTTCCGAAGCATATATTTTGACGGAAGCTTTCTTCTCGGAAATTTTTCGGGAAAAATCAGGAGGAAAATTAATTTTTTTCAGCGTTGAATTAAACGGAAGGAACTCATTTTTCTAAAACTCATCGACATCACGAGAATATTTTCCATCGCAATTTTATGAGAGTCACGAAAATTCTAAAATAATTGTTAATAAATGATTGGAATTGATTAAGTCAAAATTTCTTTTGGAAATCATTGGAACAACCTGCGTCTGAAGCATTGCAAGTTCATTAAATTTAGCAATTACGACATCCATTTCAGAATTTGATTGACCGATACATTGAATACTATTTTAAAATTTATACGCAGCATCAATTTTCCAAAATTTCAGGTACCAATTTTTCTAAAGTTGTCTTGCCGCATTTCTAATTTTTTTAATTGTTTGGCAGATGTCGCCCCACAACTGACATTAAACAACCTCGACCATTTTACTATAAATAATCAATTCCTGAACCTAATAAACCACCATATTCAAGTGAACTTCCAACACAAATACCTTTTTTCAAAATGAACGCTGTATTCGAACAAAATCGGAGGTTTGGAAATGTGAAAAAATTGGAGCGACACCTACATGCTGTAAAAAAGGGTAATTATGGACATGAGACAACCTAGAAGAAACTTTTAATTTTTCTCTGTTTCTGGTATTATATTTTGGAGTGCTTCCTATATACGTTGCTTTTCTTGATTGCAAGTTTTGTTTTTTGGAATACATTTGTTTTATTTTTCTGTTGCATTTATTTACAGTTACGACAAATACCAACTCATTTTTTCCCCGAATTAATTCGATTCGTGCTTCACAACCGTCGAATCGCGTCGCCGCCGGTTGAGCGGGTTATTTCGGTGGCCGACTGGCGGTTTAACACAGTTCATTGCTGGTGGTGCTGCTGCTGCAATAAGTGAAGACAACTGACGATTAACTGTCAAGAAGAATTAAAAACTAAAAAAAAGAGAGGCAGAAATCTCGACAATATGGTGTCGGAAACGAAGAAAGTGTCGTCGTATCGGGAAGAACGCGTGCGATCCTCGAGCGTCGGCCCGAGTTCCAACAAACCCGGGTATGGCAACACTCTCGAACGCATCAAGACTTCCGGAAGAAACCCAGACTGGAATCGACACTTGGGTAAATATTTCTTTAAATGTCTGTGTATACCGAATATCGTTATATTGGAATCATGATTGAGACGATTATAAAAATTAGAAAAAAGATGAACGCATGCAGAAAATAATTTTTTTTACAACCCACTGCTCGTTTTCTTTTTTGGAGAACTTTTCAAGAGTTTTGCTTTCTTTGTTGCACATTTTTTAAATCCCAATTTTGTTGCGAGTGTCGCAAAAATAAATGGCAGTATTAAATTTGTCACACAATTATTTGAGAACTCAAATTCTCAGTAGAATCTTCTCTCATTTCATCTCTGTGAGAATCTTTGAAGGACCTTGGTTCTCATGTTTCTTCTGAGCCTTCAAGGCTACACTTTATTGCTAAAATCCTGTTGCTTTTTTTTTGTCCTTGAAGGACAGTTTTCCTGTTTTCCAAATTGGCAGGGAAAACTGACTTCCATTCAAGCTCTCATGTGATACACTCAAAGATTTGCGCACAAGACTATTTTTGTTTGTGGAATTTATTATTCTTGAAGTATACCAACTTAAAATAGGGTGAAACTTTGCCCTGGTTGCAGCCCAACTGAATTCTGTGTTTCATTTTTTCCTGAATATTCTGTCAAACTAACCCTCTTTTTTGATCTTCTACATTTGTTGAGAACTTATTCTTGACAGCCGGAACACAATTCTACTTACACTATCTTGCTAAAAATCTATAATGGTTCACAACACGGCAACAGAAGAATACATTTGACTAACTACACTTTTTGAGCAATTCATGACGATATCTTCTATCGTACTCGTGAATTTTTTCATGACTTGAAACGCATAATTTGAAATGTCAAGAGAAGACAACAAAGTAATTGACAGGAATCCGTGATCGACGCGTGAAAGTTTCATCATGATGCAAATTGTATGCGCATTTATCAAATAATTCATTTCCTCAGTTTATATATGTAGGTCGTGAAAACCATTTCTGGATGAAATCATGAATCAACTCTGCTGTTGAATTTCAAATCAATCTCCTGCCATTTGTTTTTGTTGGTGTTTTTCTGATGATGGGAGAGGATCATACGCCACCGAGAAGTCGCGGAAGTGAATTGAATTTTCTGCCTTTCTATATTCTCCGTTTTTTGTTGTTGTTCGGAACATTGTATTTTTATTTTCTTTTGAAACATTTAAGAAGAACCTTTAGTGTATAGAATAAAAAAAGAAAAACAAATACAGAAACGATCCCTGAAGCGATGTTGACCGATTGCCAGATGCTGCTCAAGCCTGCCTTATTTGGCCAACGTGTTGCACACCCGTCTGTAATTTTGTTTTAAAATAATAAAATGATAAAAAAACACAACAAAGGAACCCGGTGGGATCGTCGACCCTCCCCCTTTTGTTCTTTATTTTTTGGGTTGAATGGAATTTTAATTGAAAAAGGTCTTTCAAAAAATCCCTGGCTTGTCGACGGAACCATTCGAGAGACTCTTCCAAAATGGCGCCGAAAAGTTTGATGGTTTTCTCGATCTGCTGAGAGATAATTGGGATTAATTATTGTTGTTGTTTTTGTAAGAATTGAAAACGGAAATTTATTATTGTTTTACAATGAAGAAAAAAAGAGAGAAAGAATTATTTGCTTTTCTGCGTATGGAATCTCTCCGGATCTTCTTGGAGAGGAAGGAAAACTTTGGCGTGGGCGATCGTCTCCGGATTCTTTCTTGCATACTCCTTTTCTATTTACTATTTGATAGTTTCTGCTCATTTTATTTGTGTGTTTTTCTCTCGATGGAATTTCCGAGAGTGGGTGTGAAGTATGGTGCGATAGGGCAGAGCGTTTTCGGGTTGCGTGGGCAAAAGAAGAAAAAAAGTTACTTCTTCAGTCTATAAACGCCTCGTGACAGGGTTTATTTTTTATCGTAAAGCTGGTGTTGTTGTGAGTTTGTAAACACCTTCCCGAAAATATAAAGCGAATAAATGCCACTTTCACGCTGATATTTTAGCGAAAAGTGTGTACTTGAAGTTTCAAAAAATTGTATCAATTTTGTATACCATTATATGAAGTTGTAGATTGTGAAGTCACTGAAACATTCCTTCAAAATTGAAAGCCCAGAAACTCTCAGCACAGAAAAGCAAAGAAATTCTGTCACAGATGAGCATATTTGAATAAGGTAGCTGAAAACATTTTAAAACACAATTAAGGTTACACATTAATACCTGTATATAAGAGTGCCAAAAGGGAAGATATTTCATATCGATGAATATAATAATTATTTTTAGCTTTTACCATACGTTTCAACCTCAAATCAAATTTAGAATCTTCAAAATTTGGATTTTACCACAGAAAAAGTGTGTTAACCAAAATTCGGTTTGTTAACCAAGGGATTTTTCATCAAAGACAAAAGTTTAGTAGCCAAACAGTTTGTTAACTGAGGGTCCACTGTATTTGAAAATAACACACATGAATAGGAGAAAATGGTTGTCCCATTAATGATTGACATAAAATTCTTTAATTTTCTAAGCAGCCTTGGTAATCCAAAAATATTGTTACTATTTTGCATGATATTTGTACTTGCTGATAATTTTTCTGATATAAAAAAATAAACTGCAAGTTCACAGCTTCACAAGAATTGGATTCTTCCCAACCATGGCTGAAGTTTTCCATGCATTCAGCAGTGAATTAGAAATGTGTTGACAGTTGGCCATATGCAAGAGATAACTTGTTTTAGTTAAAGCTTGATAAGTTGATCCTCCTTGAGTCACATACCTCTGAACCTGAGATGTTTTTTTTTCATTCTCCATCTGAATTATTTTGGAAAGAATGCATTAAGAACCTCCCTAACTCGAAGTCTTTTTCTCTCAAACCTTTGTAAGTCAAATTTCCCGCATCCTTCTAGTTTTTTTCTTGAAATATGAAAGAGAAAAGCAATAGAACAAGTGATTTGATGCATTTAGAAAGTGAGTGAAAAATAAGTTCCTTAATTTAATCAAATTTTTGCTGTTTCATCTGCATTGGACTTGAAATACAGACAGTCAATCCCAAATTAAGTGCCACCCTTGTCTAGTGACACAAAATGTGCCATGACAAATGATGGCACTAAAGTGGGGGTATTGTATCACAGGACATGTTTTTTATTCTATTATTGGTCAAATATGCTTGTTTGCAGACTTTTAACAGTGAGTATGTTTTATAAGAGAGACAGCCACAGGAAATACTTCAAGGGTCAAATTAACTGTTTTATCTGCATTTAATTACTTGCACTAGTTACAAACTATATTAAATTTTTTCACAGGTTGGGTCAAATAACAGAGTGAAACTGTATTTTTCAGTTTTTCATGAACCTCCCAATGAAAGCAGATAATCAAAGATTAGTTGGAGTGATTCTAAATGTTCAATTAGAGACTATGTCAGTTATTCATATGTTCTTTGATGTAGAGGACATCCAAAGAAAATCAACCTATTGCATTTAAATTCAGAAATCCAATTTTCATAATCATTCTGAGCATATGGGCGTGTGATTCTCAGTAAAGCCCTGATGGTATTTCCAGAAATAGGCCTTAATTTATGTGATATTTACCTATTTGGTTCACTCAGGACAGGGAAACTGTTGTGCACTGCAAGTGAGTTGGCACTAAATGTGGGTTTTGGGTAAGAACACAATGATGGGAGATTTGTTCAAGGAAATTATTGCATCATGGGAGAATGGCACTAAATACAGGATTAACTGATTCATCTGTATTTTAAAATTCCTGTAAATTCTCCAGCAGGTGGTTTTTTGTCCTGAGTCCTGAGCCCAAAGAATGAATGAGTCAGGCAGTATAATATTCCCAGAAAGAAACCTCATGAACTGGCGCCAGTCTGAAGAAATGATCTTCGTATTTTTATCTTGGGCTTTGTTTTGCTTCATACTCGTATATACTGTACAATACAGTAAACTGGAAAAAAGTACGTGAACCTGGACGTGGTCAGACTAACTAGTCGGGTGACCATTTTAGGAAACTGGGCGTGAGTTTTTGTTCCTTTTACGAGATGGGAACATTTTTTCCCGTGGGTGTTTTTGATCGGGGCGTCTTTTTTAATATCTCTGGTGGACGGGTGAAGGGTCAGATCGACGAATCATGAAACAGAGCTTGTCAAAATATTAGGAAAAGTCGAGTTGAAAAAACGAAAGTATAGAAACAGAACCTCGTAATTTCATCGAAATAACTTCGATTTTTTATTTACCTGCAGCAATTCTGTTCATAAATGTGAACAGATGAGAAAAATGTTCGATTACTACCCTATGCTATCATTATTCTGTTTTTTTCTTCAGTTTTTGGTTTGAGTTTGTATTTTTGAAATTAAAATGTTGTTGAACAACAAGGGTCTTGAAAAAGGATTGAATTGTTCCATTGGACAGTTGGAGATATCAGGACAAATTTGAAAAAAAGCCAAAGTACAGTGAGACCCCAGATGCACATGTAATTGGTGCATCAAGACTTCAAGAGTGTCCCTAAGTTGAATTGTCTCTAAGTTGAGTCTTGTTTTCCCATAGACTTATGTTAAATAATTTTCAATTGTTGTTTTCTGGAAGAAATATTCTTCAGGATTCCATGAAAAGAATGGTTTGCCACTTGAATTTGATTCACTGAATATATTTTCTACTTAATAAGAACAGTTGGAGCATTGAATAGTGTATCACTGTACTGTACGTTGAAATGTTGGCATCTACAAAAATAACATTCAAGTCACAAAGAGAGAAGGAAGTCCTTCCATGCAATAGGTAATTTTTTTAAATTAGCTTGATGGATGGGAAAATGATGAGAGAAATGACAAAGAATGTTTCTTGCATGAATCTGAAGGTTGGAAATATCTGTTTCTCGCAATCAAGCCAAATAAAAGTCAATTTTTGTGAAATTTATTGGCAATAAATGTTTTCATGCAATGTCCTCATGTCAAGTCAGATTCCATGCTCTTTTTACTTAAAAATAAACTTTCCTATGTCAAATTGTCCTCATATGTTGAGGTGTCCACTTGTGGGGGTCTCACTATGTAATTGCAGAATGTACCTGTCATAATTTTGATTATTTTATTAAAGTTATGATTGCATTCATCAATATCAATAGCTGAGAAAGATGCTCAAGATTACTACGCTATGCTATCATTATTCTGTCATAATAAAAAAATTTCGAGTTTTATTTTTCGGAATGGAAACTTTGTTGGATTGCGAGGGTCTTGAAAAAGGGTTGAAATTGCTTCATCATCGGATAATTGGTTTTAGAAAGTTTATTCTTGGATTGACGAAGCGTAGCAGAAGATTCGGAATTCGTCGGATAATCCTGACCCAGAATGAGAAACATGACCCAGAATTTTCACCCACTCATTCCTATTTTTTATTCTAATTTTTTTTTACGAAGAATGTTATCCCCGAAACAGGTGTTCGGTTTGCTGGAACGTGACCCAGACAAAGTAAACATTCCGAGAACTTGTACTCTGGTTTATTACACAGGTTATTTACTCAGATAAATTTAGAACTCTCGAGGAATTCCTTCCAAGAAAATTTTCTCAATTTCTCACATTTCTTGCGAAAAAACTCTCGGTTGATTTAATAGCGAAGTTTTCGTGAAATACGAATTGGGTTTTCGCGTGACTCAACTCTCAAAATTTTCCTCGAAAGTGTTACCTCCATTCTTTCATATTTTGCAAGTTTTCCGAGTCATTTCGGAACATTCCTTATTGCGTCAGACCGGAAAAAATGAGTAATTTTTTTAAAAGGGGCGACTGCATTTTAAATGCCAGGATTTCTAATAAGACCAGCTTCGTGACCGAATTAATTGATGCTGAATACTTGCTGTTGATGCAAATCGATAATACTGTAAACTAGATTTCTATTGAATCAATTAGAACCTTGTCCCTGGCCGTACTTGGTAACTTGTCTTCTTAGATTGAGCAAGAATAAAATACTGTATAAGCAAGAGTTTCCCGAAAAGGAAATGCGAGCTCGGTTTGCTTGAATAATTCGGTTTGCATCCGCGAATTGATCTGATTCAAGGGAATAAATTAAGTTTTATTCCTGCGATAAACTCCATTTCGAAAATGTTGTTGCATCCCCAAAACCCCTGTAAAGAACATCTTCGAATCTGATGTGGTTAATTTATGCGAGGTTGCTTTGCGAACATGAAAAACGTGAATGATGAAAATAATTAAGACTTCCTAAATTATTCAATTATGAATGAAGTTTATCTTAGAAAATTCCCAGAATTTAATGCATCAAACCTGTCAAATGAAATTATACACAGATTGTTTGAGGCATGATTAACAGACATTTCAATGAACCAGAATATTCAAGAATTCCTCTGAATCAAAATGCAATACAAGCCCATCTTACCTTTTTTATTTCTTTTTAGGAATTCGGAAGTGTTGGAATACAAGAATGGGGAAGTTCCTCTCTTGGATAGTCTGAAGTTAAGATTTTGATGGAGAATAAGCGGAATTACAGTTATAATTCTGGAGCAGAGAATACAAAGCCAATTATAAAAAATCAGAATATATTTTTGTAATTTCATTTTTTGTGCAAAATCCCCAAGTTATTTTGAAGTAGGAAATACATTTGAAGAAGATTAAAAATATAATAAAACTGATTTATTCATAAATTATTCAGCCCCTTGCCAGACAGATTCCCAGGAAATGCCTTGGTTGATATTTTCTGTTTTATTTCACAAATCTCCCTTCCTTTTGTTGTATCAGTGTCAATGATTTCAGAAAAGTCATTTTGTATTCAATTGCCACTATAGAATCACTTCCTCTTATGGGGATTCACATTCATGTTGTCAGAAGGTCAAGGTGCTGCACTTGAAAGTACTCATCTAAAGTATTTTTCCAATTGAAGTCTTCCTGAATTTGCTGTGAAGTTGGAAGATTGAGTTGTGTTTTTTTTATCACATCCAGTTTTTAATCAAGTAAAATAAAAATAGAAGCTTCTGGAGATGATTGCGTAGAGGTTTTGATCACTCAAATAAAAAAGTTTATGCATGCATTAGACAAGGAAATGTAGTTTTGATGAAAAGTTGCTATCATCTCAGTAGTAACTAGTACTTGAGCAGGGCTTTTGCATGTCCTGTGGAAATGAACGTTATCACCCATATTTGGGAACATTGTGAAAAGCTGGGTTTGTCTCCAGCAAGAGTATCTTGAAGTTATCTGAAGAAACAAGCGGCAAGCATTTTTCTAATTTGCACATACTTTAATTCATGAACCCTAGATGACGATGTAGAAAAATAATCTTTGTGCCAGCAGTCCATGGAGTTGAGAAGAAAAGGATACTTATGCTAACTGCAGGGACTGAATTTCTTCAATTCTCAAAGACAAACAGGATTGCAAATAATGACATTTAAAACATTCTAAATGTCCACATTCAACATATGAATGTTCAGGAAAATTTCCATTGGAATTTTGTTTTATAGGAAAATCACGCTACGAGAAAGTCATTGGGACTGGGAAACACTTTTGCTGTGAAAAAATTAAATTTCAAAATTCAAATAATATTGTGGCTACATGGCTGGCCCAGAAAATAAGGCAGGTGAAGTGGAGTCAAATATAACAAATTTCAAACGGATAGAAATCAGCTTAAGAAAGATTTTAAATTACTGAAATTCAATGAAGAGACACTTTCTGAAATCTTAAAGGATCAAGATACATTTTTGGCCTTATATGATTTCTCATCAAAGATTCTCTCTAAATTGTTCATTCAACTAAAACTCATAAAGAAACTGGCTGAAGACCTTGTGCTTTAAATAAACTTTTACTGCTGCTTTGTCTTCAATATTGGGGGATGGGTGGGTGTATGCAGCATATGTGTAGGATGTCCAGTTTTATTTTGTGGAGTGTGTTCTCTTCTGTTTTTGTCATTGGTTTGTGCTTTGTTTCATGCTTTGAAGTGATTGAATGTCTTTGGGGGGAGTTGGGTTGGGTGGGGAGGGGGTTTGGATGCGGGAGTCTTGGTTGTGCCTTGTGAATGCTGAAGAGCAGCAAAAAGTGTTCTGTTCATTCATTCATTCACAAAAGGGTGTATACATGTGCTTGTTACATGTGTTACATTTGCTTTTTTCCTCAGCCCTTGGTGCAGGAATGCAGCAGAAATGCATGCTGCTATGTAAAGGGGAATGCATTGCATATGCCCAAGATTGTTACACCCAGAATAAACAAATTTGAAATTGTGGAAGTGTTGGTGTAGAGGTTCCTGTACGTGTTGAGGCAATTTGAGTTGTGTTTCTTTGTAGAGCTCAATGCAAGCTTTGTAATGCACTACAAGCAATAAAATTTATCAATACCATATTTACTCAAGTACCACATGCACGTTTTCTTCTCAAAATTGAAGCTCAAATAATGTGCTTTTTCAGATTTTATTTCAAAATATTTATTGAGGCATAATGTATTACATTTTCAAACATATGATATCTAGCAAAAGATCACAGCTGTTTCTCAAGATTTTGTGTGCATTTGAGTTAGTTTTATATAAAGTTACAGCATCATGAAGGAATCATCAATGTTTCCACAAAAGCCTCCACTTTTTTCTATTTTCAATAAAGGAGGGATGTATCATGCAACAAGCAATAATTTTCTATAATGTACAGTACATTCAAAAGTAGATTTTTCACATTTATCCTGAGTTTTATATCAGATTCGGGGCCTGATTCTCTGTTAAGTGTCTTATAATCCAATGATGTTGGAAAAATGCCTGAGTTACTTCAATTTCTGACCAATTTTTATCCCTTGGATGGGAAAGGGTTCCTGGCTGTCCAGCGGCAAAGTCAGAATTTTTTCGAGGGAAGGGGCATTTCAGTTTGACCAAATGTCACTGAAATGCCCCAAGGTTGCCAAAGCCTACATTGGGAAAAATCCAGGTGCAGAAAACCCTATTGTTTCAAGAAATCCCCAATGTTAATCCTATGCTGGGGATGCATGAAAAATGCCACCCAGGAAGGGTTTTTTGTTTATTTTTGAGTCAACATTTTCTGGAGGATTATGAAAAGAATCAGTTCTTTCCTGACCTAGGCCTTGATTCAGAAATATTTTTTTTAAATTTTTAGCTATCATGGTTTGAGTCAAAATTTTCTGCAAGCATCATGAAAAGAATCAATTCCTTCCTGACCTAGGCCTTGATTCAGAGATATTTATTTTTTAATTTTTAGCCTTCATGGGGACTAAATTTTTTCAAAATTACCCCATCTCTGCTGCATAAGGGTTAAAGATTACACAGATGTTTTTGGCACTAATTGAGTTGGCACTGAATCCTGGTTTTCCTTATAAAACCATGATGGAAGGAGATTTCTACCAGGGAAATTTGTTGCACTAAATCAGGGGACACTCAAAGGGTTGACTGCATCTCAGCATGCTACCATGCAACAATTGAAGATTAAAAATTCTGGAGAGAATCAGTGAATGGAATTGTTTTTTTTCTTCGGTTTTGAATAATTTCAGATCAATTGTTGGACGAGCTGCAAACGAGTATAAACCATCCGAGTTCGTTGCAGCGCAGCGATGGGATCAGTCCGGGGTCTTTGTACGGCGCCCTGACGACACCGTCGTCGCCGTCAACGGCTCTGACGACACTGACGACCAATGGATTCGGTCCTAGTGACAATGATAAAATCACTAGCCACGTTCGCGAAGAATACACGTCTCCAGACAAGAAGAAGCACACTTTCAAGGAGAGCTACGATTTCCACGGCTCTGGCGGAGGGGTGAGTGTATATTAATTGATGCCGAAAAATCCGGTTTACGACTGCAAGTCACTTTATTTATTTATTTAGGTTTTTCTTTTTTAAACCTTGGGCCGGAGTATAGGACAGGTTCTTCGAAATTGTTTTTAAACCAGGAATGTGTGGGGATTTTTTTTTCCTCGAAAAAATCCTGTTATTTTTTCTTTGAGAATTTGGCGCTGAGAACTTTGAATATCCAGGCGAAAATCAAGTTTTTCGTGTTTTGCACTATTCAAGAAATCAACAAATGATCAGATTCTCTTCCTCGTTCCTCCATCTTGAAAAAAAAATTGAGTTTTTGTATTCACACCATATTTTTGTAAATGATTAAATATTTCCAGCAGTATCAACATTGAGAAATTGCTTTGTGAAATCCTGAAACGTACAGAAAGTCTCAGTTTTTGGTGTGCTGATGGGAAACTAATGAAGCAAAAATTGGTATGATTTAGATGAAAAAAAAAAACTCTGGAAATTCAGTTAGAAACTATTGAGAACACAATCAACATAAAGATTTAATCACAGGGCAGTGGAAAAATGACAAGACAGGGCAATCAGCCTTTTAAGCCCAGAACACATATTCAAGAGGACCATGAATATGTGTTCCTAGTTTTGAACTTTATTTTCCATGCATTTTAAAAATCACAAGTCAGGAATTAAATGTAAGGAAACACAATACCAAATGTGTGCACAAATCGGATTAAGAAAATGATGGGATAATGGTATTAATAATTCATCAGAAATAAATGTGAGTGTAATAAGAAAATAATGCTGAACTACTTCATGCAAGTTTTAACCTTCATATTGGCTTCCTCTTGAAACCAGTGGAAACTTTCACTATAGTTTCCTCCTTGAACCCAAGTTCTTGTTTGCCCAACAGAAAGGAGAGTGTTTGAAATCCAAGAATTTCATACACGTTTGATTTTTTTATTTCAGAGAGGTATACACAATATCTGTTCCACTCTATTTCCAATTTCAGGGATTGAGAAAATTATGGGCTGAGTATTTCGATGTACGGTACAGTGATGTACGGTATCGTATTTCGTGTACTGAAACCATGCATGGACAATTTCGAAATGTGTTTCAACATGAATACTGCAGTGAAAGGAATAAGTTATTGCCGTGTTAAATATTTCCCATGTGAAAGTCAAATGTGTACATGACAGGCCAAAAAATGCTATTTTTTCACATCTATGAAAGGGTTTCGCAACTATTTGTTTGTGAGACATTGAAAATTTATTTCAGCTGGTCTCTCTGCTTAGTCAAATCTAGGCAAAAGACGAGTACTCATCTCCTTGATTCATGAAACTGGTCATTTTCGGAAGAAATATCTTATGATGGGAATACAAATATCTCTTGAGGTACCGATGATAAAATAATCCTCAATTCTCGTTAGCGATTGTTCAAGATCCACACAAGTTTCTTAATTTTTTCTTGTTGTAGGGATTGAATGCTTCCATTTTATTTGAAAAGAGAGCTGTGCTTGAAAAATGGAAAAAAGTCAGGCCATCAGACCTGAGTTTTCAAAACAATAGCCACAATGTTGAACAAGGTACAATGTATTTTCTAACGATTTTTTTGTTACCAAGAAGCAATTTCACTGGTACCCATGGCTTTTTTTTCAAGATTTTACTGTACATGACATGTATCCCATGATGTCTATCTGTAAATTTGATTAAAAACTTTTTTTTTGCAAAAGATGTGCATCCCAGTTTTCAGTCAAACATATTTTAAAATTTTTGTAATTTTATCATTTACAATTGTTAATTCTTGGAATATTGTACAATGATTTTTGCTCCACAATTACTTTATTTTGGTTCTGAAATATGATCCAATCCCGGCGTTGACCTGATTTTTTGAAAAAAAAATCACAAAACATTTTTGTTTGAGTATAATGTCTGGCATGGAAAAGGGGGGCTCTAGCAAAATATAGCAAAAGATCAGTGAAGTGTTGATGAAAGTATTCATTTTCAGAAAAAAAACTTTACTTTTCATATCTCTTGAGAAAATGTTGCAGAGTGATCTTGCAGTCATTGTTACCAAAAATGGTACAAAAAGGCGCGGTATTTTGAAAATAAAACGCTTGAATCAGCTGTGGGGTTCAGCTGGGGATCTCGTTTGAGATTCCAAAGAAAAAGATAAAAATGTATTTCTTTTAACCCCAAACACAAAATGGATCTTGTCACAAATTCATACACAGTAAAAACAATCCTTCTTAAGCATACAGAATTAATTGAATAATTTTGATAAAAATCTCACACCACACTGTCTGAATGTTCCATGGCATGGCGGCTAGTTGGAAGCTGCTGAAAACATGAGGAAGGTCTGGAATGTTCTGGATTAATTGAATAACATCTCTTACAAATTTCTCATACAGTGCAGCAGTGCTTTAACGTACCAAATTATTCCGCCACAGTCATGACAAATTCTGACTGAATTTAATACCAAAACTTCTTCTGAAAGCAGAGCTGTCATTCATATCATGACCATTGAAAATACAATAAACCTCTGCACAACAGACTTAATTAGTGTAACAGACTACATTAAACCCCTGCACAACATACCTATCTCCTGCAAAATGGATTTTTGCAAAACAGGCTGCCTCTGGAGTCTGGAGGCAGTTTTACCTCCTGTGCAACAGACTAAATCTGCAGAACAGACTTGTGTTTGTTTAAAATTAATGATAAAATGTGAAAAATTTCAAGTTTTTAATAATTTTATTGGTATAACAGACTTTTCACACAACAGACTAGACTGTTGCACAAATCAAGTCCATTGTGAGAAGGTTGACTGATGTAGTTTGTTGAGTGAAAAGTCTTTTATGCAAATTCAATTGGGAAGCAAGGGGAGATATGAGAGACTCACATCCACTGATAGAATGCACTTCTATAGACTGAAGTCTTTTTGGCGGATTTTTCTGTTATGCAAGAGGAAAAACGGCCTCCAGACATGGTCTGTTCCAAAAAAATATTTTGTGTGGGAGGTCTGTTGTGCGGGGGTTGACTTTAATATCACAGATCTCAAGAATTCTGGAGAATCAAGAGAGGTACTGAAACCAGAATCAATTTCAATTTCCTGGAAAATATAGTATAATATCCTGAGTTATTAAATACAGCACTGTACTGTATACGAGGGTTCTAACAAAAGTTCTTGGAGTAGCAATGAAAATGGCCTACAATTGAGTTGAAAAAAATGTATTCTCTAGCTAAAACATATTCTTTGGCCCACAAAAAAATCAGCCCACTTTGACAATTTTTTTTCAATTTTTTTGCAAAATTCATCCATATAGAGTTTTGCTCTCCACTCAAAAAATGAGGCACCCTTTTTTTGTTGTAGCCCAGCTTTCCCCTCAGAATTTTTGAAATCAACTTGGCATTCTTTTTAGGGGTTGCCTCCAGGTCATCCAATGCTATTCTGCCATTTTCATCAACAGCTGCCTTCACAGCCGCCAAAATGGCGGCCAATGTGGCAGCTGTGAAGGCGGCTGTTGATGAAAATGGCGGAATTGCATTGGATGACCTGGAGGCAACCCTTAGAAAGAATGCCAAGTTGATTTCAAAAATTCTGAGGGAAAAGCTGGGCTGCAACAAAAAAGGGCGCCTCATTTTTTGAGTGGAGAGCAAAACTCTATATGGATGAATTTTGCAAAAAAATTAAAAAAAATTGTTAAAGTGGGCTGATTTTTTTGTGTGTGCTAAAGAATATGTTTTGGCTAGAGAATAATTTTTTTTCAGCTCAATTGTATGCCATTTTCATTGCTACTCCGAGAACTTTTGTAAGAACCCTCGTATCACAATGCATTGTAATTCTCCCAAAAGTATGATGGGATGTACCACACTGGATAAATTAGGGGTTCTCAAAGATACATTGTAGTAAAAACACCTTTCACTACAAACAGTCATTCAAACAAATGTTTTTATTCCAATGTTTCCCCCTCATACTCAAAAAATGGTATAAAACATAAATCAAAAATAGTGATTAAATGAATTACTGTATATGTTTGCCATATTTGATTTACCACTATATAAGATACAGTAAATTCAGCAAATATTCCCTGAAAAATAACCAGATGTTTTAAAGAACCATTGGGTGGAGTCCAGCAAGAGTTTCAAAACCTGGTCATCAATATGAACACATGTTAACATCTTATTCTGGTCTTGTTAAAAATTTAACATTCAGAATAAGAACAAATTTTGTTTAAACCATGAATCATACAACAAACAAACAAGTGCTTTAATCCTTCATGTGTTTACCCAATGATGCACCAATATAAAATTCAGTAAAATCAGAAAATATTCCCAGAAACATTTTACCAGATGTTTGGTACTGCCATTGGGTGGAGTCCAAGAGTTTAAAACCCTGGTCTTTGAACATCTCTTGGTCTCGTTAAAAAAAACTTACCATTCAGATCAGAAACTTCCCGTAAAGGAAGTAGCAGAAGGAAGAAGAAAATCCTGAAGGAAAAATATGGTAGCCATATGATGGTCAAGGCCAACTTTTCGTAGGCGTCGTTCTTTATTTTTTTTCTCATACAAGACCAGTAGAAAGAAAACCTTGTCCAGATGTTTTCGTGTCTCTTCCTCTTCTTTGTCGTATTTCCGTGATTCAAAGTTCAAGAGGGGAAAATAAATAATCATTTCCACGTTTTTGTAATGCTTCCAAAACTTGAGACACCTGCTCCTCTAAAGTCAGATGCATTTTGCGTATGCAGCGCATGACGCAAAAAAAAATCTTTTTGTTTTGAAAAAATAAAAGTCGAATCCCGAAATAAATATTTAAATACAGTAATTTCAAAAATTCCGCAAAATAAGAACTATTCAGAAAATGAATCAAGATCCATCGAAAAGTCTTTTCTGCTGGTTTGAAGTATAGAATTAAAAAAAAAATAACGAATTATTAATTCTAAAATATTCATAGAATCGGCGTTGCAAATTCTGAAATATTGAATAACAAAGAAATGACTCCAGATCGAAAGAAAAAGTACGGCCCTTATCCTGACTTAAGGTCGAATCCCGAAATAAAATAAAAACTTTGTCAATTTTTTTTTCGAACGGGCGTTGAAAATTGGGAAAAAATGACTCAAAATCCGCATTTAAAACGCTTCTTTTTTGCCATGGCAATATTCTCAAGGCCGCCGAATTTTGATGCGCCAGATGTTTTTTTCGAATCTTGAACTCGACTTCCGGACGACGAGAGGAAGGAAAATGAAAAAAATAATCATCCCATTGTAAAACAATGTCAAATTATGTCCCCTTCGTGTTGGCCTCATATTTTCAAAATGTAAAAAAAGGGAAGACCAGTCGTGGTTATAGTATAGGATTCCGAAATAAGTATAGGATTCCGAAATAAAGAAATGAATTAATAATTCTAAAATGTTCATAGAATCGGCGTAGAAAATTCTGAAATATTGAATAACAAAGAAATCGCTCTAGAGTCCAGATCGAACGAAAAAATACGGCTCTTATCCTGGCTTAAGGTCGAATCCCGAAATAAAAAAATGTATAAAACTTTTTCAATTTTTTTTTCGAACGGGCGTTGAAAATTGGGAAAAAATGACTCAAAATCCGCATTTAAAACGCTTCTTTTTTGCCATGGCAATATTCTCAAGGCCGCCGAATTTTGATGCGCCAGATGTTTTTTCGAATCTTGAACTCGACTTCCGGACGACGAGCGGAAGGAAAATGGAAAAAAATTATCATCCGATTGTAAAACAATGTCAAATTATTATTTTTTTTGGGAACGAGGAAGATGTCCCCTTCGAGTTGGCCTCATATTTTCAAGATAAATAAAAAATTAAAAAGGGAAGACCGGTCGTGGTTATATAGTTCCGGAATGCAGCGACCGGACATGCCAACTATGACGCAAGGTCGCATGGGTCTTTCAAATCACGCACCCGAGTTGCGCAACAAAAAAGAACGTGACTCTTGGTGCATGAACCCGGGTTATTCCAAAAGTTTTTTTTCTTTATTATTTCTAAAAAAAAAACAAAAATCCGCTTTCAAATTTGTCTCTCATTTATCCGAGCTTTTCAAAGTTTGCCAAGAAAAAGATCTTCCGGCGTGGATTTTTGAAGGAAAAAATAACATTTTGAAGGAGCTTAAGCAGGTGAGCTGTTGAAGCTTGAAGTCCGAGTCTTGGACGGCTTCCAACAGTATGAAGAAAAGCTTCCAGCAACCCCTATTTTAATTTTATTTTTCGAAACCAAGGATGAGGAAGGAGCCCCATGAAGAATTTTGATGCAAACGTTTTTTTTTTTTCGAATGTAAGGGACAAATGGAGGCTGTTTTTTTTTTTTGCTCTTCTGAGTAATATCCATCATTTGTAAATCATTCTGAGCCCAGGAAAGATGAAGCAAGTATTATTGTGGAAATCTTTTGCAGCATATTGATTTTATTGCAGTAAAGTATCACATGAAAATTTGAGGATCATGCTTTATCCACTGAAAGAAACAATTTAAAGCATTTTTATAGCATTCAGATGCCTATACATATTATTTGTTTCCAGGAATCAGATCAACTGATAAATATTCTTGTTGATTCAACACTTGAAACACCACAGTTTCAAACTTCAACTGGATGTTTTGTGCAAGTTTTGGATTAATTATCATAATCCTGGTTTTTTACATATCTGGTCAATAAATTAATTTAATCTTCAGTGTTTTTCATTTTTGGAAACTTTTGGGAGGAGACACTGCTGCAGCAAATGTTTAATGTCATTTCTGTTGTGTGTGCAAAAAATATGAAAACTGTATTCATTTCCAGGTTCTGGGTGTAAATGCTCTCTTTTATGATTTCTCAACTAAAATAATCCGACTTCGACAAGTTTTTCATGGAAATGATTTTGTATATATTTTCCAGAAAGTATTTCCTAATGCTATTTCTGTTGTGTTCATCGGCGATATTATTAATGTTTTGTGTGCACGAAAAAAAGAAAACTATGAGAATTGTATTAAAGTTCCAGATTCTGAATCAGAATACTTGTTAAGGGTGTTTCAACTCAAAATATTCCATTTATGGCAAATTTTTTATGGAAATAATTTTTTTGATGTTTTTAGAAGTTCTTTTCTTACTGTCGTATTTGTTTAGTTCTTCTGTAATTTCATTTTTATTTTGTTCGCAAAATAATTATGAAAATCCTATCGCAGTACCAATTTCTTGATCAGATTGCTTTTTTTAGGGTACCTCAATTCAAAATACTGTACTTTAATCCGTTTGAAAAAAATTTACGGAGGAAAAATTCTGCATAGATTTCTTAGAAGTTTTTTCTTAGTGTTATTTCTGTTGTATCGTATGTACAAAGAAAAAAAATATGAAAATCGTATTCAAGTTCCAGCTTCTGGATCTGAACGCTGCTTTTTTTAAGGGTGTCTCTACTCAAAATAATATATTTGTGACAACTTTTTCTTGGGATCATTTTTTCACCTATCAAGTATATTTATTATAGAAGTTTGTTATCCCTGGAAATGTAGTAAGTTATGTGCGTCTCCTTTTAATCAGAGTTGGAAATGATTAAATACTAAATGTCTATTCCAGACAAAAATAGTCTTTATTCAATAAAACACAGTATTCACAATATTGACCACAAGACACAGGGATCTGAACCTTCTGAGCTGTACTGTCTCCTGAGCTAAAATGCCTAAATGTCTTAATCCTGCCAGGGGTTTATATACCGCAGGATTGGGGTACATTTCAGAAGGGGAGTAGGTCATGCACGTGTGCAGGTATCATTCAATGATTGACACATGCAGACAGGTATTGTGCAGTTAAGGGGGTTGCCATGCGCTGGGGTTTCTATGCGCGCATTGTCAGGGGTCCGCACATCATCAAGGGTCCGCACGTGTCTGTCAGATGTGTCTGTCAGTCCATGTGTACTGGGAAGGACAGGGATGGAAGAATATTAATATATTTTTATATTAATCTATTATCTCTTCCTGGTGTTATGAATAACACCGAATATCGATATTTGCTTGACAGCAAATATTCTCGCAATATATATTGGGGAATTGTTATACAATTTCCACCAATGACAAGTTTTTCTTAATTTCATTTCTGTTGTGTCTGCAAAAAAAAATTAAAATAATATCCAAGTTTCAGGTTCTAGATCTGAATTCTTTTTCAGTGTGTCTCAATTCAAAATGATCCGTTTGTGACAACATTTCCATAAAAAAAAAGTGTGTTGCTATTTCCTAAGTATTTTTACTTATGATGTGCATCAACTTTGGTGAAGATCCAGGGTGACTCCCCAAATCATGGGGTTGATCAGCTTCCCTTTGGTGTCCTTAGAGCACCTCATCATTTTCTTACCCGGCGTGAGAATGACTGTTCAGTAACTTGTCGCTGTAAAGTCGGGTCACCGTGATCAGCATTCATGTTGAGTGACCTTGTTGACTTGGGTCAACGTGTCTCACGTAATAATGTACTATATACATGCAGTTTTTACTTATAAATGAGCGGCTGAAGCTTCTCGAGGATTGTAACTTTATCTTTAGCATTCACCAGGTGCAAGGGCTGTATATTCGAGAGTGTACCTGGAAATGCTTTCAAGTATATCTGGTGTCTTCACGATGACTCTATATGTTAATTGATATCTCTAATCCGCCTTTCCTAGCTCGTATTCTTGCAGAAATATTTCAGAAGCTGATGGACATTTTGAAGAAATTTTTTGAACTATTTATGAAATTTTCTCAGAATTGTCCAGAAAGTCTAAGTGTCTTCTCTTAAGTGATGTAATTTCCTGCAGTGTAAATACATCGGTTAATGCATCAGGAGAGCACCTTATTTTCTTATGCCCAAAATTCCACAGCTACAGGAATGAGCTTCAGAAAAATTTGGGACTCCTGAAATTCAATGAAAAAGCCCTTTCCAAAATCTTGAGGGACAGAGATAAACTGTTAACTTTATATGATTTATCATCAAAGATTCTCTCAAAATTTTGCAATCAACTAAACCAAGTGATTAAAATGTCATTGAGTGGATTTGGATTGGGTGGGAAGGGGGTTTGGTTGTGGGAATCTTGATTGAACCTTGTGAACGCTGAAAAGCGGCAAATAAAGTGTTCTGTTCATTCATTCAACTAAACCATATCTGGGAACTGGCTGAACACCTTGTGCTTTAATTTGGGTTCAGTAATTGCATAATGCTGCAATTCTCATTACTGACATTTTGTTTTTGCTACTTTAGGGAATGGAAGAAAGTAGTTACATCAGTTGTGCAGTTGTACATTTTGGGATGCTTATTTCTCTACTTTCCATTTTGATGTGATGGGATGTGTTTGGATGAATGTGGGTGGGGAGGGGAGTGGGTTTGGGTGTAGGAACATTGCTTGAAAACCTCATGAATGCTGAAAAGCAGAAAAAAGCTTGCTGTTCAATTTAAAACTAAATGGGAAAATCATGTTTTAGACAGCAAAGGCCTTCAGCAGAAAATATAATTAATGTGGGAACTGAATGGGTTTGTTGCTCAAGACCTTCCCTTATTTCTGGGTCTTGAAGCAATATACATTAAATCTTTAAAAATTTTTGGACATTAAGAGCTTATAATAAGTTCAAAAACTATATGGGCTATGGAAATCTGAAATTGAATCCCGTGGAAATCATTTGGGGGTGGTTTTACTGAATTGAAAAACGTTGCCCACTGGCAGAGCTTTTTTTCAAAGGAAAACTTTTATTGCATTTTTCCCAGAAAAAAATGAAGAACGCGACAAAAGTCATGTATGCAAAACAGTTTCAGGATTTTCATGTAGGAAAATTAATACCCTGGAACACTTGGCACATGGCCCACGACCCTGGATTTCTTCCGAAACCCGTAGCCCTGTGTAAGCAACAGCTGAGAAGTGAGGATTCTTTGCTGAGCGAATTTATCCTGGCTCTGGCTTGGCAGATTTGGGTTACGCGTGCTGGCGCCATTTTTGAAATAAAATCCTTTCTGAAGAACGGAGATCACGAAGTCGTTATTGAAACATAAAATTTTTGCGGAAATTTACGATTCAATTTGAGCAAATTCAGCGCATGTAGGATCAAATGAATTCGTAAATGGCTTTGGTGCTGTGGAAGATTTATATGTTACACGTTACAGTATTTATATGTTATATTGGATCATTCATTCCCTTCTGTGATTTTCGTTGATTTCCGTTCTTTCAAATTTACGGAGACCACAAATTCATCACATTTTTTTAGAATGCAGTAATTTTCTGCAAAAATGTACGATTCGAATTGAACTAACTCGCCATCGCGAGAATAACCGAACAAAATTGCTAAACCTTTGTGCAATCTTTGATAAATTCCTTTCATGGTAATACAGAGACAACAAAGTTGTAATCTTGAAGCTCAAAAAAGATTTATGATTTAAATTGAAACATTTCATCGCGAGAATAACCAAATTTTAATTTATCTTGGATCTGGTTTGAAAGATTCAGATGACGAGTGTTGGGCATTTTTTAAGTACTGTATTCGCTAAATTTTGTTTAGAAAATGCAATGACCACGAAGTCTTACTCTTTTGAAAAATACATTTCTACCTACATTTTAAATATATTCGAACAAATTCTATTGGATCATTCACGGAATGATCGAATGTGATTCATGTCATGTGTAGCTTTTTTTTTTTAAATAAAAAGCCTAGTTTTTAGTTGGTTCTGTTGATAATAATTTGATGGTGTGGATACATTTTTATCTGATTTTGAATAAATTTTCAGTCTGAATCTAATGTTACAAGACAGGGAAGTTTGAGTTTCTACAGCAGCTCAATGGATAGAATTTGGAAATTATTTTGATACGGGAGGATTATCATTTTTCCGACCATGGTGTCAGGCCGGTTACTGACAAAGGGTTTTAGGAAAGTTAAGAAATAGCTCAGCAATGGATTTTGGGCCTCAGAGTGGGAGCCTTACACAACCCTCAACTCTTATTCACATCGTAGTGCATCCGGCCACGTGCGTTTTCCTTCGGGGCGCAGAGCGTCCCACCACGTAAGCTGTGGCATGGGCAGGACTCTATCCTGCTGGCGCCACACAGCACCTTGGCCTGGCGCTGGTTTGCGACGCGACAAAATCCCCCCTTTTAGCAGGCAAGGGTGCATGGCAAGCTTGGCTGCTGAAATCATTCCAAGGAGGAAGCAAGACAGCGCTGGGCAGATAGAGATGCCAGATGCCCATGTTTCTCAGGTGGTTGTCACCATTTCCATTCCAATTGACCACATTGGCTTTGCAAGGCTGATTGTTCACAAATGGCAGGGTCCCCCCAGTTAAGTGCCAATGAGGGGAACTGATCTCCAGTGACTGGGGTGGAGCACTGCCTTCCACTGAGCCCACATAACTTTGGTACTGCTGGTTTGGTACAACACAACAAGCTCACCAATTTACACTGCTGCAGCTTCCACCCCTGGATGGCTTGACAAGCACAGTGACTGGGGCGGAGCACTGCCTTCCACTGAGCCCACATAACTTTGGTACTGCTGGTTTGGTACAACACAACAAGCTCACCAATTTACACTGCTGCAGCTTCCACCCCTGGATGGCTTGACAAGCAACACAATGCTGTACTGGTTTAGGCCCTCAGCCACTCAACCACATGGGGCCCTCGGCCGCTCAACAATCCTGCACACATCAGGAGACTCCAACTGATGGTGGCACCCAGGGGGAATGAACAGTTGGATCACTTCACCTCAGAAATGTATCATAGCTCCACAATGCTCCCCCAAGGTCCCCCCTGTCACTGAAAACCAGAGGGCAATTCACTTTCAGGGAAGGCAAACACAGGGTGTCCCTCCCCTTACTGGCCACCAGTTTTGTCAGGCCGGTTACTGACAAAGGGTTTTAGGAAAGTTAAGAAATAGCTCAGCAATGGATTTTGGGCCTCAGAGTGGGAGCCTTACACAACCCTCAACTCTTATTCAGAGGAGGTTGTGTCTCAGCATCCCATACTCATCACAGGTCCCCAGCATTCCCATTAGTATCACCAAAGATCACAACACAGACAACAGAATAGCAAAGGACTGCTGACTGCAGTTGGACTAAGACTGAGTAAAGACTGAGTGAAGCCAGATCAAAGGCTGATAGAATACTGACTGAAGACTGACTGACTGTGCATAATAAACAGCCCTTTTATACAGGCCAGAATAACCCTGGGATTGAGCCAAGGGCAACCTAGTTGACCCTGGCTAAATCCCGTTTCCAGGCAGGTTTACCACTCTGCCAAAGTTGCCCCTTCCGGGCCGAAAAGTTGCTTCGGAGCGCATCGTAGNGCCAGAATAACCCTGGGATTGAGCCAAGGGCAACCTAGTTGACCCTGGCTAAATCCCGTTTCCAGGCAGGTTTACCACTCTGCCAAAGTTGCCCCTTCCGGGCCGAAAAGTTGCTTCGGAGCGCATCGTAGCGCATCCGGCCACGTGCGTTTTCCTTCGGGGTGCAGAGCGTCCCACCACGTAAGCTGTGGCGTGGGCAGGACTCTATCCTGCTGGCGCCACACAGCACCTTGGCCTGGCGCTGGTTTGCGACGCGACACATGGGATGATCGGACGTTGTTGCGGTTTTTTTTTTCAAGGATAAGACCTCGTTTATGTGATGATAATTCGATGGTGTGAATAATAATTGTTTTCTTCATAATTTTGGATTTATTTTCAGCCTGAATCCAACGTTACGAGACACGGCACTGTGAGTTTCTATAGCTCAAGGTTTGAAGATGGGGGGCCGACTTCCATCAAACGCAGCGGGAGTTTGCGAGACCGAAGCCCAGATAGATTCCTCGAAAGTGCCAGTAAGTGTGTCAAAACTGTTTCAATCCAACCTTGAACAAACTAAAAATGAGTCATGATTCTCGGAATAACAATTAATATTATTTTCCCAGGTTTACTGAGGGAAATGCGGCAGCGAGACACCAGCGGCTTCGATACGATCGGGTACGTTCTTCTTATATTATTCTGGAGACTCGCGGAATAAATCGGGACACCCTCTTATTTGAATAACACAAAGTTTTGATTCAGTACTTGAATGTTGCATGTATATGTATGTTATTCAATTTTTTTATTTTCTATTTTTAGAAGATGCAGGAGCCCGGAATCATACGTGAACACTTCGACGCCGTATTCGACTGTGAAGTCTGGGTACAATAAGTCGCACAGGACTCACTCAGAAAGTGGAGATCACTACCAATTGATCGACTCAGCAAGGCATAAATATTCTCCTTCGGACCCTTCTTACACACCTAAGACACCAAAGCGTTCTGCAAGTCTGGGTAAAAATTATTATTTTTTTTTTCATTTCATTTTGAATGAATAATTCATGTCACCAAAATTAAGAGAAATTAAAATACGGTATTTACTCGAGAATAAAGACACGATAAACTATTAAAAGAACAAAAATAATTTGCATATGAGTGGGAAATCGCAAATCGCGAGACTCGTATATAAAGTGAAAGCTCGTTACAACGAACCGGGCAAAAGCTTCGTTATGAAGCTAAATTCGTCATAAGGTAATTCTAATAACATTATTCCTATTTGGGAGGTACATTAAAAATGATTTCGTTTTACCGAAGGATTTGTTATAATGAGATTCGTTGTAACGATGATTCTACTGTAGTACACAATTTTTGAACAAGTTCTTAATGACAGAAATGACTCGGATGAGGAATAAGTTTTCAGTTTAAAATTTTGCATTTTATTCTAGGACAGGACAAGTCATGTAAGAGACAAGGAGGGTAAAATTCTTACTTGTTATACTTCCATTAATTTGTGAATTTTTGAAAATGGAAACCTTGACTATACATGTGTGCTACTTCATAATTCTTGTGCTAAATTATTCCATCAGCATAATTTTCAAATGCTTTTTTGCCTTTATAATATGCAAGTAGATAAAAAATTTTTGATTTTAGAAAATCAGTTTTAAGCAGGAAAAATGAGCCGTTCCAGTGAAAGGAATAAAACCAAAATGCAAAAGGAACCATGAAGAAACCGAATAAATTTAAGCTAAATTACTACGAGATTGAATTTAATTCAGTTTTATTTTCTGATGATTAACCCTTGGATGTCAGAGTGGAATCCTTTCCATCCTATGCTGGAGTATATGTGTATTTTATATATATATTTTTTTTTGCACACCTTAGCATTTCACTTCGACTGATGGAGGTCACAAAAATGTAGCCAAAAAAATTCCTAAATATTTTGGTAACAGTAATTTTTTCATCTGAAAAATTATTCCTAGATAACAGAAAGAGTAGCACCCAGCAATGATTCCTTTTTTCCAAAATTTTCTGCAGGCAGCAGAGAGAAAAAAAAGTCAGACTTTATGTTGATTAATTGGTGCTCAGTCCAGATTTAAAAAAAAATTGGTTTCAGCTCTTAAGCAAAAAACTTTGCAAAAATATCTTGACTCTGTTGCAGAAGGGTTAAAAGCTAATTCAAACCCCTTTTCGGCTGTTGGGAACCAATCGAAAATATTGCATTCGCTGTGAAAAAAAAACAAAGTCACTCCTTTTATTATTTCAACCTGCGTTTTTTTTCTTCAAAATGTTGTCAAAAATGCAGATAGAAGACCGAGCTTCGAGAGGAATTACAATAACAGTATGAATCGAGACGGTTCCACTTGGCGGGCACGGGAAGGTTCTTGGCCCCGGTACACGGACACAGTCAGCAGCAAGAACTCCAACACGAGTACCTGGAAAACCCGAACCCATCAGTCCTACAACTACATGGAGGGCGACACTCCGGAAAGACGTTCTCGACGCGACGATCGCAGCGTGTCACCTGTTCAGAGGTAAAAAAAAAAAAAAAAAAAAAAAAAAAAAAACACAAAAANAAAAAAAAAAAAAAAAAAAAAAAAAAAAAAAAAAAAGACCCAAGAGTTTTTGGTCCCTGTCTGCAAACCTGTTTTCAAATTTTTTTTTTCAATATTCAAAGAAAAAAAAATATTCGAACCTTTTGAGCGGCCAGTTCCGAAAGGACTTGAACTCGTTTATAGGCGATAATTAGGGTAGGAATGCTGTCTGTTGAATTATTGTTCAGCTTTCGCCTGTGCCTGTTTTTATTATTAATTTAATATTTTAATCAGCCAGAGGAAATGTGGTTATTATTATGATTTGTTCGAGGAGAAAGAAATTTTTCTCTGCCGTTTCACAGCCGAAGTACAGCACTATTTATAGTGAAAGTAAATTTTTCTCACGATCTGTATATTGAAAGTATCATCTTTTCTTTCTTTCGGAAAACGTAGGCTTTCTTTTATAGAAAAAATAAAGCTTCATATTTATTTGTTTCGAGGAATGGACCATTTTATCGGTTTCGAATCATTTGTTCAAATTTCCTGGATTATACGGTACTTAGATGCGCATCACAGTTGGATATAATATTGGAAAATTTTTAAAGCAACCGAAAAAAATAGAGAATTGATCGAATTTAGCGTTAATTCATGTTCATATTGGAATTCTTGTGTCCCTCATTTTTTAGGTATTGTATTGTGTTTTGGTCAATTTTTTTTTCAATTTATAAGGTCCTTAGGACGGGTTCTTTGTAACGAGATTTTACCACTGGAATCTTGTCCAAACGAAGCATTGGGGTTCTTGAAAAAAGCTTCGTTAAAACTAAATCAAAATATATTGGGACTTTTGGGCAGGCATACTAAAAAAAAATTGCTGTACGCTTTGAATCATCATAAAAAATGTTCGTTGTAACGAGATTTTACTACTGGAATCTTTTTGTAACGAAGCATCGGAGTCCTTGAAAAAATTATCACTAAAGCGAAATTAAAATAACCTTGTTCATCACTATAAACAAAAACAACAAATGAACAACGAATTTGCTGTATATACGCAGTAATTCGTCATCAACGATATTATTTTCGACGAGATTTTACCACTGAAGTTTCAACGAAGCATTTTGAAGTTCTTAAAAAAGAAGCTTCGTTATAAAACTGAACTTAAAAATTTTTTTTTTTTTTACTATTGAGCCGAGACTATATAAAAATCAATTTCGCTGTTCGCATGAATCTCATCGTGAACAATGAGATTCCTTGCAAGGAGTTTATATTCTGTGTATCACTTCTTCCTGCTGCTCATCAGCAGATCAGGGTCGCTCCGGAGGGACGCCTCTCCGATCCGCCCCGGCTACGGCGGCGAAGACCAGGACCCCCGCTACAACACCTACGCCTCCAACAACACGTACGCCACGATCGAACGCGAGTCTCGCACCCGGACCCGCGGCGGCAGTGGCGGCGGCGGCGGCGGCGGCTCGCACGAAACCCACAGCCACCACCATCACCGACGCGACGACAGCGGCTCTGGCTCAGAGTCCAGGTCCAGGTCGCCGTCGACGAGTCGACATCGACACGGTCGACAGCGGGACGCGTCGCCCATCATGCCGGGTTACGGCACCGACGCTGACCCCAGCAAAATCGTCAGGTCCTACAATTACCAGTACATGGGCGACGGGTCCGGGTCCCGAAGCCCGTCCCCCAACTCCATCCGGAGGTACTTTTCGCAAAAGTCCATCGAGGAGAAGCACAGGTGAGATTTTTAAACATTTAAAGTAATAATAAAATTGTTATTATTATGCAGGTGGACTCTCTTGATGTGCGCAAAGATTTTGTTTTTACAGTCAAACCCTATTAAGACGCCCCCCATTAAACTGCAACCCTGGGCAACCGCCAAAATTTTGAATGAAACAAATCTTCTCCATGTTAAATTCTATTGAAAACCTTGATAAGACGCCAACCGCCATCTGCCAGCATTAGTGATGAAACAAAATTGCTGTTTCCTATTAGTTTTGTCTTCCTTGCAATGCCAACATTGGGGTATAATCATAATTTCTCTCAAGGATCTTGTATTTCAAAGAATACATAAATAATAATGATCTTTTTTTAATTTGAACAATATATATTGACCTAACCTAAAAATTTGAATAAATTGATGCAGCAAAATTAATTTTCTGATAGAGTAATCCATTGATCGCAGCAATATTCTTTGGAAAATTACTGAAGTTTTTAGAAAACCTGTATATCTTTGACTTTTGGAGGAAAATTGAGTATTCTGAATCAAATAAATTGATATGAAATATTTGATAAACTGCCAACCTCTTTAAACCCCCAAAACTACTCATGACAAATGGTGGTGTCTTTTCAGGGTTTGACTGTAAAAGAATTGTCTCTGCACAGGTAGTACATTGCAATTTGACCCTAATTCATTGCCAAACTATGGGGTCAAATTGCATATTATTCAAATTTCAAGACACTCTGTGAAATTCAAAAATACAAGTATACAAAAATGGAAAAAAAACTGGCCAAAGCAGGTTGAATTGCAGGGCAAGGGTTGCATTGCAAGTCCATGTCCCTGTAAATTTGACAGTCAAATTGCAGGATGGTCAAATTGCAGGAGGATGAATTGCAATGTACCACCTGTATAAAGAATTTTTTGTGATTCCATATGGCTCAATCCATGTGGTATAAGACAATATAGGTTCTCTATACAACAAAGTCCTCTCTACAAAAATTGTTCTCTGGTCCCTTGAATTTTTTTATAGAGAGAGTCCACCTGTAGTAATAATAATAATAATGATGATAACAATATTGCAGTTGAAACTCAACCTCCCTGAGTTAAATACCCACATAATTTGATTTTTTCAAGTCCCTGTCTGAATTCCTTCAAAAACAATGCATTAAAAACCTCCGTGACTCAAATGTTTTTCCTATTAAACCTCCATAACTCAAATATTTTGGAACCATTTAGGGCTATTATTTTATTGACACAGGAAAGAGAAGAGCCAAAACATGTAATGTTTTTTTTGAAAGTAGGTGAAAGACTGATTGGACAAATGAACCCTTGCCTCCAAGTTCAGCATCCTGTAAACGAATTTCAGAAGAAATTTAATTATCAAAATAGCATCAATTACAATTTCCTGTGATTATTATTTTTTGTTCTCCGCAACAAAAATGCTTCTTTCCATAACTTGATTTTTTTGCTGGCTCCTTGAAATTAAATGTAAAGAGGTTCAAATTCAGTGTATTTGAATCCTGGTCTCAGCAAAGCATCTGGAACATGAAACCCCTAATTTTAATTTGACTCACATTTTCACTGTACCCTCTTGGGTCTTTGAACTTTGACTCATTCAAACAATGATTTGTTTTAAAGAGATTTGTTACAGTCAAAAAATTTTTTCCAAACTTGAAAGGACCAACCAATACTTTCTCCTGAAAAATTCATAAAAAAAATTGCTGGTGAGTAAACGTGATGATCTGGGCTTTAAACTGGCTGGATAAATTATTAAAAAGGATGCTGATATTGAAAGCAGGTTATATTTGTCAAATAAGTCACTCAATTGCTTCATGAAAAGCATCAAGTTACATCTCCATTTGCTCTTGTCCTCTCTGAGTCCCGTTAAAATAGCCCAAAAAATCTAAATATATTACAGTTATGAAGGTTTTGAGGTGAAAGTATTCTGGTTAGGGAGTTCTTTGAGGGAATTATATCTGGAACTAAAAAAAAAATGATGATTTGAAATGAGCAGCTTTTTGACTTGAGGTTTGAGTTATTATACTGTTCTGAAGAAGGTTTGCATGCTGTTATGCTGGAGATATCGCGTTTAGGCATTTGTCCAGCATACAGTACAATCCTGTTGTAACAAATCTGAAGCATCAGCAAAGCTTCCAACTGAAAAAAAATGTCATGATGAAATTTGAATAACATTGTTGCTAACTGGACAGGGACCTCAGGCAATTTGGTGCAGACAAGAATTTATAATTTATAATACATACTGTAGCAGGATTTGTTGCAAGGTTTTTTGGATGAAATATTCAAGATTGTCTTGTTAAAAAAAGCTCAAGCTCAAAAAACTCACAAGGAATTTCACATTATTGACTCAAGAAGTGGAAGGAAGAAATTGATCATTTTCACCCAATAAATCAAAAAGAGGTCAAAAAACCAATGATGTGGCCAAAAAGCTCAGAAACATAGAAGAGATGATGTCTGAAAATTATTGACATAAGTATACAATAGCATGCTCTTAATTTGAATCCAAGACATTTTCTTGAAACTGGCCAAAAAAATAAAAAATGGTATGAAACTCTGATTTTGTTCTGGAATTTTGAACTTGTGACATGCTTACTTCGCCCATGTTTGCAATTATGAATTACTGCATATGATATGCATTGAATGTAGCTTTTTCATCTATTCATAAATGTACAGGTATGTCAGGATTTTTATTCAGGTAGGAAGATGCCAATTTCAAATGAGAGATTATGTTTAAGATGCGCTGTGAAAATTTTATGAATTGTACTCGAAATGATTAGTGAGAACCTTCATCCAGGTAAAAACCTATCACGAAATGTATGTTTGTGGACCTTTCAAATAAGTAAAAACGAATGCATCCTTTTATTCAAGTTAAAAACAATATAATAGCATGTGATTGGAATACTGTACTGTACTGACATCCTTAAAAAGTGGTGAACTGCATCAAAATGTGGCAAAAGAAAGTTGAGCCCTAATTTGAATGATCACAGCTTTTCAGATTTTTTATCGGGGGGATTGTAACAATTTCTATCGATGAGAATTAAATCACACGAAATAAAAAAATAATCAAGTATAAATTCCTGAAATAATCATATGAAACCTCGATCCAGAACCGCTTTGTTCTAAAGATATTTTGATAAACGTAAAACAAGGCCGTCTCGCTCTACTACGCCACTGATCAACAATCATCATCATCACCATCAATACGATCAACGATCAACGACAAGAAAGGACCGATACGACGCCGATGACGCGTTTTACAAAATGCTAAACGATATCTTGCACGGAGGCGAACGACAGACAGGAATGTCTCTCATTGAACGGAAGTATCCGGCGGATGAAAGCGACATCCAGGAAAATTCAAAAACGAAGGATGAACGCAGGTTTGCAACCTGGCTCACAGATGTCGCTCGAAGTCCGTGGCTGCGCATGTTGGCTGTCGATCTCACCGCGTCGATTGCTGCTGGAAGTCTTGAAAATACTTTATGTATAATGCTTCACATAAATCATATCTTTTGGAGAAAAGCTTGACGGGGGAATGGGGGAGCATTGGGATATGTGCCGACGATTTTGGACACCAGATGTCAGCGTGTGTTGCGATGTTTCATTGATGCGATTATCATCAGCACTGCTGCCTGCATATAGTACCGTAATCAACTTACCTGATGCACACTCTGGGATGATGCTTGTCTAATTTGTGCAAGTTCAAATATCCAAAAAAGAAACAAACTTTCCTGAAACATTCTTGTTTATTCCATGTTGAAGCTGCTCACAAAGTTTTTTTTTTCTATCGACGTTTTTAAAGCATGGAGAGCAAATTTTCGCATGGACGGAACCCCAGTGTTCCCTATTTTTTACAACTTTTTCCTTGGCCTGCGCAGATGTCGCACCATTGTTCTCACACCGCATTATTCCCAAAGTTCTGTGACTAGCCATGAGCTATTTCTGTCCACTTCGCAATCGATAACGAATCACCATTTCAACTGAAATATATGAACTTAGCAAAACAGGAAGTGTTCATCCACCTAAAGCATTTAATTGAGATTGATGTTTTAAAACATATGCTTTCATTAATGAGTACAGTATTTCGCATTCAAATTTATTACCTCAAGTTTATGTTCATCTCTACGAATTGTCGAGACAATACAACAAATTATTTTTGAAAAGAGGAAAAACAGCTTCATGAAGATTTTAAAAGAAAGCCCATTTGAAACAGTGAAAGATTTAAAAATTCAGTATACTATTATATCCTAACCAGTTATAACTTGATACGTTTCCAGAGAACATTTTAATGACAATTTTGTTGACCAAGAATTTCTGCCTATAAAAGGTACAGTAATGCCCAGATGAAGTGTGCATGAAGCTGAGTACATTACATCCCTGCAGAAAAGTCTTGGAAATCATGAAATATTGAAACTTGTGTGAAGATTGATCTGATTATCTAGCAGCATAAAATAGTCTCATGATCCTCATAAGATGTGAAACACTGAGAAAGTTGACGAAAGCTATGATGAGGCCATCATTATTTAGTTTCAGTATGTGAAAACATGTTAAATATCAATAATGGCAATGATATGGTCAACCCTTGATATAGTCATGCCACAAATTTCATCTCAACCAGTCTTCCTTGATTATTTACACCATGTTTTTGAGTTAGTGCCATGCTTGCTCAGTTCTTGCATTATGAGGGCACTTTTCTATCATGAGTAGAGCCATGATTTTTGTCTCTATAGACATTTGCATTTTTTTGGACAATAGGGTCACCAAATGTAGCCTGGACTATACCCTTTGTCCTGAATGTTTCCACTAAGACTGAGCCACATAGTTTTTAAGTCAACTAATGTTAGTTTTGTGATAGGATTGCAAAAACTGCCTCCCAGTGAGGGATTTTTTTTAGCAAGCATTTCAAATTCTGAATATTTTGCTTTTCTATTGATTAGTCTAATTTTTTTCTGTTTTTTAGGAACAGATTTTTGCAAAAATATTCTGGTTCTGTTGTGGAAAAATTAATGCCAATACATGGTAATGGATGAGAACACTGAATTGCTGGTTGACTGTTATTTTTTGCATACCATGAGATCTAAACACCATCAATTAGTTTTCTATCTGCTCACTGCAGAACTAAAGAACAAAAACAAAGACAACATTTCTTTGAAAAAAAGAAAGAAGTGCTTGAATAAGGAGCCCAAAGCTGGAATATTTTGGCAACTATTTGCTTTCAGGCCAGAAGATGAGGCCGATGTCCCCATGTGGACTGCTGAAGTCTATGCCTTCAACTTCACCAAGACTCCCTCCCCAGAGCCACCAGCCGTGATTACCAGGACCATTACCACAGAGTAAGGGCCACTTAAATTGCTGTCAAGATCCCTCCCTCCCTTTCAGTCATAAACACTTCCCAACCCCCCCCCCCCCACTATCTCACAAACCACTCCCTTTTATACTCTATCCCTTGATGTAATGGTTTTATGACATACAAAGCCCCCCCCCCTAAACCCTGGGTAACGTGCCTGGTATGTGTGTATATATACTGAGTAACTTGAGTCAAGTCCATCTATATTTGAAGAGATGCTTACACAATGTTCCACTGGGCAAATATCATACAGGGTGTGCCAACAAATGAGAAGCAATTTTTGACTCACAATAGCTTATTGCTAGCAAATTGAGCTGCAGCAATGAAAGAAAACACCAAATGAAGGCTTGTTCAATTCCATTTCAAATGGTGTATGGTTTTATGATCCCAAGGAGTGCCATGTCATGGTCACAAAAGCCATTTTAATTAAAACCTTCAAGAAAGTATGTCAGACTCATCAGGCAACTCTGTACACTAAGCTGGTGTTCTCCAGAACTCTTTCTTGGGGTATGCATCCCTTTAAAAATGGCTCAATTTACTACCAAGCTATTGTGAGTCAAAAATTGGTTCACTTTGGTTTGCCCACCCTGTAATCATGAAAAATAGTATCATAGTTTTGTCATGAAGGAATATGCTATGCATGCTAAAGCAAAACTTGTTCAATTTTGGCTCCATGACTCATCTGTGGACTGATGATAGTGGGATGAATGACTTACTTGTCTGTAATTGCACTTGTCAAAACTTGTTACAGCAAACTTCTGGAGACATCTTAAAATGAATTCATTTTATCAAAAAAGTATTTATCTCATCAGATCATTATATGAAAAACAATTTCTACTTTTTTAGCCATTCAAGAAGCAAAATACAAAGCGTTCCAGCGAATTAGTGTACTTCCACATACATTAACCACCAGAATCAAAAAGGTTTAACCCAGAAAAAGTGCTTTTACTATCTTTTTAGTTCTTGTGCTGTGAGCAGTGAATATTGGTGCAGACTTTGTTCCTTTGGAAGGAGTGAGAAACAAATTTAGCACATTTTGAAGAGCAATGAAAAATGAACCATCTAAAATTTAAAATTGCTTGGATACTTTTTGAATATTCAAGATTATTTGTGATCCTTGTGATAAAAATGAGCACATGAAGCCATAAACTTGAAATGTGCAAGTTTTGTGAAGCAGGAATTGGAATTAAGTTGAAAAAAGGTGCCTTTCTTGCCTGAACTGAAGATTCAAATGTTATGAATTGATTTTCTGAAGAAAATATGAGAAGGGCATGCCACAAATGAAACCTAATCTAGTTATTTGGGAGTTATGGCAAAGAAATGCCCCGAGAAACAATTCCATGGGTGATATTTTTCCAATCATGTGTTCAGAAAAGAAATCATTTTGGATATTTATTGAGTCTCGTTTTTAGATACACAATAAAAATTTAAAATAATACAGCCAATTACCATGCCTATACTACTGTACCTTCCAGCTGACAAATATGAAATTCATGATGTTTTTTTGCTGACATATGAACAGGAATCCATCTTGCAAAAATTCTTAAAGGCAACATTTAGAATTGAAAGACAAATTGGAGCTTTTCCAATCCATGTAACACACATTCCAGCCAATAAAATCCACTGAACTTTTTGAAGAAGCAAGTGCTTGTGCCTTCAAATACCTGGAGGCACATGTACTGCAAAAAAGGGTTTCAGCACTTTGTAGATTGACTTGACTCAAGATTTCCTCTGCCCCTGGGAAAAAGGCATTTGTTTTGGTAGCACTGCATGCTCTTCATTCAAAGTAGCTGTGGAATGTTTTCTGATTGTTATCTTGCTCTTGTACTTTACAATAACTATGACAAAAATTTGAATAAAAACAATATTTTCTTGGAAAATATTAGTACCTACATTTTAGCAAATTGTATTGACTTCAAACTTTTGACAAGAAATACAAATACGAAGTCTTCTCTTCCAATAGCCCCAACATTTATGGATTTCAGGAAGTTGAATGCTAGATGCTCTGAGATCTTTGCAAAACCATAGAGAAATATTTGGGTTTTTGAGGTCCATCATGTATTTTTTTTTCAACCTTTGGAACACCTTCAAGGAGTTTTCCATCAAACTTTGATCAAAATCATATTTTTCCTAACATAATTTTTACATTGAAAATTCATTCAAGAGCAGATTAGTTTTATTTTGAACTTTTTGTTGATTTCCTACTGGCAATTTTACAAATTGAAAGCCACTTTCTGGATAACAGAATGCAAGTACTGTATGCTGACTCAGAGCAGTCAGCTCTTGCACCTGTCATGGCGCCTCCCTTATGATTCCTGAAAATGGAAACATATGATTTTCTGAAGGCATGATTCAAAAATACTGTATATATGTGTGTGTGTTGTGTATGTGTGCTGCTATGTGTTTATTTTTCCACCTTTTACAAACTGCACGTAGAATGCTTGCGGGTTTGCACATATATAGACACTCTTGGGGACACCGTTTATTAATTGATGAAAGGAATCGGTAGTAAACTGGAGCTGTATTATTATTTGTTTTTTTTCTGGGAATCTTCGCCGATTTCCTTTTTTCGGGGAATTTTTGTAGAGAACATCTGCGACAAACGCTGAGAACTCTGGATCGAGTCCCGTCCGCATCCCGGAAAAAGTCGACTGCGGAAAAATCCGTTTCCACTGTTGAATCCACTTCGAATCACATGATGTGAGAGGCAGTTTCCGGATTTTTGTTGTTGTTGTTTTGTCAGATAACTTATTGACAGTTGCCTTCAGTTGCTTTGTTTTTATTTTTTCACCCACGGCATTTGTATCATCATCATCATCATCATCATCCACCCGTGGATCGTCTGATGGATCTGTGTCGCTTCCGTTTCGTCACTGCTTCGCACTTCCGGCTTCTTTTTTATTCAATTTAATTGCATTTTTCTCCCATTGGAAGTATATTTCGGTATTTAGGCCATCTTGTTGTTGCTTCTGCTGCTCGTTTTTTTTTTTTTTGTGGCGAATTTCTGGACTCGTATATGGATTTAAAAGACCTGTTTCCTGGATGTTTTATTTTTTCTTTTCGATTCCATTTTTTTTATAGAGAACCGTCAAGGCACAAGATCAAGTATGTGCGAAAAGAACCTGAAAGACCACCAACTCCATTGGGAGAAAGGATTTACCCAAAGAACATCACGAATTCGGATGTGGGAAGTCAAAGACCGCCGAAACAAGTGGATGAATTGATGGCGTCCTTTTCTGGGCAACAACTGGTACAGTTTATTTGTCAATTTTTAAAACTTGAAATATGTTTTGTGCGGGGTCTTGTCTAATTGATTTACATTTTCTCACTCAAGATATGTACTGTTAATTATATTGTGTTCCTATATATATTTCTGAATATTTGGGGTATCCAATGCATTAATTTCAAGATTGATTTCGGCTGCTGGGAATTTTATTTTAATTGGCAGGTGAAATTGTTATGTGTTTCTGTATACAGTCAATCCCTTGCACGGTGCCACAAATTTCCCTGGAACAAATCTCTCCCATGTTGTTCTTAAGGGAAACTCCAATTTAGTGCCAAATTCTAAGTGCCACAAAATGTTCCTGTACTTAATGAACGATATTGAATTGAATTGAACAGCAAGCTTTATTTTCCACTGATCATTTTAGCAATATGTCACTAAATTTCGTCGCAGCTTCTTCGCGCACCGAACAATAGAAAATACTGTTATTCTAACGATTTCCTCCACCAATATTCTAATCTTGTATTCGGGTGTCTCACCAACAATTTTTTCCTGCCTCTTTTTTTTTTTTAAAGCACGAGTACAGGAACGTGGGACCTGGTTTGTCGCAGATCAGGTCATCGACCCCGAAGCCCGAGAAGAAGGTGGAGATTGACGAAACCAGGATCGTTGTGAAGCACACAGACAATAACATTAGTGACGAGCAGAAAAAGATTGTGCCTTCGAAAGCAGGACCTGCGGTTTATTACCCACCCGGGTTCGAATCTACTTTGCAAAAGCGGGAAGAGGGCAAGGTGAAGAAAAATTTTATTTTGGAAAAATTTCTGAAATCTGAAACAAAAAATTTGACTAATTGTCATCTGGGAGTTTTTGAGTTATATGGAGGAACTAGAATTTGTATCACTGGAAATAAGAATGGTTTTCAGGAGATGAAAATTGGTGATATGGTGGGGGCTTTAATACTGCAAAGTAAATGAGTTGAAATGATTCTGAACTTATTGGAGGCAAGAAATCCTTGGCCCAATTCATCACTCACTTTTTCTTCCAAAAGGCATCAAAATGCATTTTATTGTTTCTTTTCATACCTTTCACTGCAGCCCAAATGCTTTTACAAATTTGAGTCCTGGAGGTTTGAGAAGGAAACTCTTTGGGATTGGATGATCTATAACAGTGCTCCCCAACTCTTGGGCTTGATGCAGACTGGCAAAGTTCCATAAAATGTTTGCAGACCAGCAGACATATTTTTAATACCTACCATAAATTCCTCAAAACAAAACATTTTTTGAAAAATTAGCTCAAAGACTAGTAAAGCAGTGGAATGGAATGTCTTTGAAAAATTTTAAAGCTGGGCAATTCAAGAAAGGTTTCTAAGAATGAATACTCTTAATAAATATTTCAGCAGGGGAAGTTTTGCAGAAATTTTATTAGGAGAAAAGCCAAATTTTATTTTTCAACAGATAGTTTCAATAACTGCTCTCTGAAATCTCAAATTGACAGAAAAGACTTCATTACTACCTTTGATACATTTATTATGCTGAAGAAATTTTCCTGCAGACAGACAAAACAACTTCTAGCACCAGTCTGCTGCTGACTAAGGGTTGCAGACCACTGGTCTATAATGCATTTTCTTTGATGGAATGCAAACATAAACTAAAAGAAAAGTTCAACAAAGCCTATTTACAATTGAGAACCATGTGCCATCAAGCAAGAGTCACACCTTAGTTATCAATCAACAGAATTCATTTTTTATTTTTCTTTCTGTAGCAAAGCCTTCAATATTATTTTCAAACTTTTCTGCTCATGAGCACTGAAGCCCATTCTCAAAATAACTAAAAAAAAGTCATATCCTGTATTTACATGGAATTGGGTGGCTTAATTTGAATGTCCTCCACAGCAAAGAACATCTCTAAAACTGTAATAGTATCTTTTAAAAAATGAGAATCATTAAACCTGAGCGTTGAATTGTTTGCTTTCCTTGAAAGGTTGATCTGTGAGGAATAAATCCTGGACAAATAAAGATGGAAATTAAGTTTGAGAGAACAGACTGATTTTGTAAATAAAACACAAGAATTTGGTTCGGCTATGACCGGGTGAAGAATCACCCTATTATTAGGTTGTTGTACTTCAAAATTTTAGCACAAGTTCGGGAAGACGTTGATTTTTGCAAGAGTCAACAAAAACAGAACAACACACGCGAATGTTTAATTTAATTTTTGCGACATCATCTACAAAACTGCAGGAAAAAGTTTTATTTTTTTACTTGGCCAAGTATATGAAAAGCACTGAAGCCAAGGCCTATGTCAGGAAAAAGTTGGATAAATTTTCTCTTCCAGCAGAAAATTTTTATGCTCACTTGTGGTACTGCACTGACTATAGCAAGGGTTCAATCAATAGGTTTTTGACTTACAGAAACTTGAGTTCCAAATGTCTGTGAATAATTTATTTTTACTCTCTCTCTTTCTCTCATACAGGCTGTTCCACTGTGGATGAGTGGTGAAGCAGAAATGTCCAGAGGCAGCTACAAGTACAAGTCCCGATCGAAATCCAAGGAGAAGAAGGGCGCCGTTGCTGTCCCAGTTTGCTTGCCAGTCTGCTGCGCTGCTCCCTTGTGCTGTTCTGTCATGTAAAAAAAAAAAAGAAGTAAAAAGAAAAACACCGCGATGTATACTTCCATGTGTTAAAAACAGGGTATTTTTAAACAAAGAAAAAATCTAATGTAATGACGAGCCGCATCCAGTAACTTCAAATCCTCGATAGTTCTGCGAAAGAAAAGAAGAAAAAAAAAACTGTCCAGTAACATATTGATGTGTAGGCATCATTTTGTCTCAATTTTGGGCAAAAAAAAATACGGTACAGTATATCTTTTCTTTTCGTCGGCTTGTCAAAATCTGTTCTTCTTATATTCGGGGGTCAGTCAGAGAAGGTGCACAAAAAAAAAGGTATGCAAATATTAACTTTCCTCATCATCATGTGTAACTTCAGATTTTTTTTTTTTTTTTTGCTTTAAAAAAAAGGTGACCTTCCATTCACTTGGAACCTTAAATTCGACTCATTTTCATGTGTGTTACCTTTGTGAATTTCGACATTATTACGTTCTGCGTGTCTGCTGTTGATGGAATGTCATTCTTTTCAGCCGGTTTTTTTTTTTATGAAACCGGGAAACAAGAAAAAGGGCGGCTTTTTTGCGCTTTTGGATTCGGCGGGCAGCAAGCAGGCGAAAAAAAAATCCTTTTTTTTTTTAGGGGAAATGAAACCGGTTAACTTAAGGTTTGTGTGATGTGAGGGCATAAGTGAAACGATTTTGTATGCATTCGTGCGATCCTAAAGGAGAAACCGCTAGTAAAGCTGATCACTAACACGAGGTGGACCATATTTCTTTACGAATTTATTTTGGACAGGATTTTTGACAACGAACTCCCAAATATTAAGCGTGTAATTGGGCAAAGGATTTGGTTATCCATGTGATTGAAACTGGATAATTTGTGATAATTTTATTGTGCAAAAATATTTCAGACAAGGAAGAATTGCAATTAGGCAATCAAATGGTCTTAACCTTACAATCAAAACCTCTGATCCAAAGACAAATTCAAAATTCAAGACAAATTCATTTGGATGTGTTAGGAATAATATACTTTACAGTAAACCCTCGCTTAACATTTTTAGTTGGTGCAGAGGGAAAAAACGTTAACTGAAAAAAACATTAAGCAAGGTAGTCTCTCCCTTAAGATATAAGGGAGAAACGTTTAATTGGTGTCAGGTAAAATTTTCTAAAGGTAAAATTCAGAAATTTTAATTAGTTTCTCACATAAGGTTGTTGACTCGAAATACGTGACGGTAATGTAAGTTTTTCATTGGTGTCAAGAAGTGAGAATTAAAATCAGAGATTCATTTTAAACAAGGAAAGGTCTAAGTGTCAGCACCCAAAATTCAGTGTTTGACACTGCAATTGCTCATAAAATAATTGTAACACCCCACCACCCCAAAGGAAACACATTTAAAGCTGTGGAAAAAGTCACATTCAAGAAAATGTACAGGAGGGAGGGAGGGAAGCATCCACATTTATCACCAGGTGCTGCACAACTGCAGAACATTAAGCGGATTTTGAAAGGTTAAGTGAGGGGATTTTTCTCACAGGACCAGGAAGGTTAAGTGAAAAAACATTCAGCAAACGGAACGTTAACTGAGGGTTGACTGTACTGGAAAATGGATTTGAACAATAGCATTGGCTCTAAGTTCCACAGTGGCCCAGGAAATGTTACCCCATTAATCAAGTAACTACAGTGTACAGTATTCCTGTAAGAAAAATAACTGTGTTCCAGAGGAAAAAAAACTTGACAATTATTTAGAGCCAATGCAGCTTTTGAGGGGAGAACTAACACATACCTGCAATAAAGCACAGGCACAAGGAGTAAAACATTGACAAGAAAACAGCCAAATTTGGAAGCAATTTAACCTCCTTGGAGATTCAGAATTGTTTCTCCTTTTCCTCTTCAAAAAACCTGGGAAACAATTCTTTGGTGGAGAATAATATCTTGCGATTTTACAGCTTTAAAAATAAATCCTGGGGTTGGCCATGCACCAACCAACTTCTTTTGTTGATTAATGTATGATGTCCTTGAATGTGTGACAATCTAAACAAGGCATGAGAACTTCTTTTCTGCACAATTCCAAACCACCAGAGTCAACCCCCATTGTTGGGCCATTGTTTGTGCTGGCAAATTTTGTGGCACTAAGCCAGGGTGACATTAAATCAGGGATATTATATCAGAAGAACATTCATTTGAGGGCTTTTACTATATGGAAAACAGGCTGTTCTGCAGAATTTCTGGACCATTATGGAATCCGTATTATGAAAATAGAAGCTCACAAAAAAATTTGAGGCTAAGATGAACTGTTTTCACTACATTTTAATTTTTTTCTAGTACTGTGTATATTTTGCAAAGAATGTTTCAAGGAAAGGAGTGAAACTTTTTTTTACAGCCCTGTATATATGCCTTTCAATGAAAGTACACAATTCAAATATCGGGTGGAGGGATTTTCAAATTTGTTTAGAGTGAATATCCCAGTTATTCAGATGCTCTTTGCTGTGCTGGAAATTCAAATACAGCCACCCAGTTTATGCGTGGATAAAAAAAATTAAATTACCCTGCACATGGTCATGTAATTCTCAGTGAAAACCTGATGATTTCCCTAAGGGATATGCCACAATTTCTCTGATTTTTGCATATTTTGCAGCACTAAGTGATTTGGCACTAAATTTGGGTTTCCAAGAAGAACCAAACTGAGGGAGATTTGTTCCAGGGAAATTTGTGGCACTATGCAGGGTGACAATAAAATGGGTGGCACATAAATGAAGGGTTGACTGCACTAAATACATAAAAAAAATCCAGAATGATTTACTTTAAATTATCATTTATAGCCCCACCCCTTCATGCCTATTTGAAGAAGAACTAAATATTGAATATATACCTGAGAAAGTTTATATTATTGATGACAATCTATCATAAGCACTGAGTGGGCTTAAGAGCAGGTGCAGCCAATTAAAAAAAAATTCTCTACAATGGTAGCCTAGTTTGAAAAAGGAAAGTGAATGCTTATGTCTTTTCACACATGTTTTCTTTATACAATGGAGTAAATTTTCCTAAGCGGGGCATAAACAAAATAACCCAACCTGAAGCATAATTCCAACAAATTAGTGTGACCCCAAGATACAGTTTTTCAAACATACTGACAATTGCAGTTATGTACACTTTAAACTCAAAATTCTGTCCTGATACCAGGGCCGGATTAAGGTGGGTGCTATTGATGCTGTAGCATTAGGCCCACCAGGCAAATAGGCCCCCTGAGAATTCAAAAATGAAATTCCCCAAGTTTCAAATCCAAAATTCCGCAAGCTGGGAATTCAAACTTTTGAGAGAGTATGAAAAGTTTGCAAAAGCAGAAAAGAGAAAAGTATTAAAGATTTTAAAAATTAGGTCACTAAATCAATTCAAGCACAGTGCATTGTGCTTGAATTAAATTGGTTTCTATGTGAATGCACATAAAAACCCTTTAACAGGAAACCAAATCATGGACATGTTCTTGGTTGAGAGAACACAGTCCTTCCTGTATTAAAATATATATCCAGGCCTATTATCAAAAACAGAAAATGCAGAGTCACAGACATCATAGGAAGGAAAAATCCAATCAAAGATTTCAATTCCAGTCATGCCCTGGTGGTGGTATGAAAGTGTCTCGCCTGTGAGTCCTGTCCCCACTTCAAAAGCCTGTGGTGGCTTCAAAAATCTTTTGAAGAGATTTCCATGTTGTTTGAAAATTATAATATCTTATTTCAAAAAAATCAGTGATTTATAAACAAGTGTGATTTATAAAATTAATTTTATTTAATTCATTCCCTGCTGTGCCTCCTTATCCCCCTTCCCCTTTTGTCATTGTTCTGGGTTCCATAAATCCAAATGTCTCTTTTTTGAAATGAAGATTCTTTTTGAACACACCCCTAAAAAAAACCTTTTTCCCCTTGCATCCTGGGAAAAAGGAAGATATCCCCCTGCAATTTTCTACTGTGCACCAAGCCAAGAGAATCTTGTCCAAGCCATATTTTCTATGAGGAATTCTGGTAGCTGGAGTGTGGCAAACTGAGATTGATATTCTTTACATATCCCGTGTATCTATTAGTGGAAAAATATGTCTTCATCTTGAATTCTTACCAGATTTGAATACATTTAGAAAATTTACAGTTTCAATATGTATTTTCTAGATTGTCCATTGCTCTATGTAGTCTATACTCTATGTAAACATTTTTGTGGGAATCAAGATATTTCCAAGTTGCTGAATGTTATTTCTCTTTGCTTTTTTGTGGAGCCTCTCACTACATTCCAATGTGAACACTGCAAGTTTTTTTGCAATGATGACACTGTAAAAATGTAAGACAATTTATAAATCTTAATCAAACTTTTTGGCAGGATTGGAATAAATTATTGTATTGAACTTTTTCCTCACTTGAGCATTCATTCAGAAATGCAATTTTTTTTTCAAGTGCTCATGGGATGGGCACATTTTTTAGAATATTGCAAGTAATCCACACAGCATGGGTTAAAATTAGGTGGCTTTTTAAATAAATGAAATAAGTGGATGCAATTTTGACATGCAATACAAGTTAAAGTTGAAATTATGAGAAATTTCTGTTTTTAACACAGACACATACTTCATCATCATGCATTTCTTATGATATGTACATTATTTGTACCATGAGTTGAACAACTGATAATTTTGTGCCCATTCCTATCCTAACCAAACAATTCAAATTATTCTCAAATGCACTGAGTTTTATGTTGGAGCATATACTTGGAAATTTTTTATTTAGATTCATTTTCACATTGTTTTCGGATTTATGCCACTGTTAATAAATGTTTAATGAAGGCAAGGTGGGGCATTTTCACTTTTGAGTAATTCAAGTTGTTGTCCGGTTTCCAAAAATTAAATAAAATTTGACAATGTGTCTTGTTGCCTTCCTTGTTAACTTTAACTTAGGAAACCTTCCAACTGTTATACGTTTAAGTTCTCTCCTTGATGTCCGGGAAACTTCTTTAAGTGTCCAATATTCAGCCTTTGAATAAGTATAGAGTCCGTATATATCTTCAACAGATATATTTCTATCAACGTACTCGTCTCCTTACGAGGTTGCATACAACACTGAACTCGCGCAGGCAAAAACAATGATTTATATAAACTTTGATCCGTATATTGACCGGCGGAATAAAGAACAAGGAAAAGAGCTTCTATCTTCAAGAGATCTGGTCAGCAACAGGGTTTTGGGGCGGAGAGGATCATTTGGTTTTATAATGAAGTAGATCTCGATATGGGTAAGGATAAGAGTTGATGTTGCTGTCGAGGCGTCTCGGGACGCAGAGAGAATATTAAACATCGGGAATATAATATTACTTTGTTGCAAAGTAATCAATGCATCGAAGGATCACCTGAAAGTTTCGCTTCGGGGTACTTCCCAAGTATTGTCATATTTTGTCACACTGATAACAATCTTCACATGCAGCATTAAAGAAAAAAATTTCATATTCCCCTGACATGTATTCTTCAGTGTGTGTCTCTCTGAATGTCAAGCTTTTTAAAATCATTGTTTAGCAGTGCAACTTCCATATAACGGTGTAAAAACATTCTGGGCACATATACCAGATGCCACAAAAAACTTATTCTAATTATAGTGATCTTCAGTTTTTCATGTTCAATTGTCTCACTAATTAATGCATTAAATTCTTTCCCATTGAAGTCTATGGAAAAATAAAATTCAGTTCACAAACTTTTTGGTTAACAAACTTTTGTCTAGAATATTAAACATCGGGAATA